CATCTGCACATTCATGCTGCAGAAGAAAAGAAAATTTTAGTTAACACAGCCAAAGCAACGAGAAATCACCAGAAAACTAACTGCAAACTGTCACACTGGCTGTATGATGTCAGCCAAAAACAAATCAGAATAAAGATACTGTAATATACAACACTGCACTCTCCACAATTAAACCGAATTAAAATGATATACTACCCAAATCGCTCCCTGTTGTATACAGAAACATCACAAACTACACTTAAGCTTGGTAAAGAGTCAAATCCAACATACAGAAAGACACTGTGTGGAGACATCATCACCTCTATGGAGTGGGACAAAGAAGAAACGATAACAAAATAACTGTTCTTATTCGTTGGACAGGGACAGCCCAGAAAGGCTTGTTCCCCAATCAGCGAGGCTTGAAGCCAATGCCCTTCTTTGGTTGACAGACCCCAAAGTATGCCACCACTACACAAGCCTCCCCTACTGCCTGACCCTCGGCCCCCCAACAGACAACAGTAGAGGCCACTAGCCCTCTTACACAGAGTAAGGCCAATTTCTAAAAATTCCACAGAAAAGCTGACAGGTTGGACCAGATTTGGAAAGCACTAGAAGAGAAGGGAGCTCAGACCTAGTTACTTTTTTCCAAAGGAAAAGGGAAAAGTGACTGGCGATGATTGTCCCTACGAGAATGGTGTAAACACACGTACTTTCTTTCAAACGGCCTAACAGAGACACACTGTCGAAGATTTATCTTCACAACTGCTTTGTGAAATATGTTGGGAATTTGTCACAAGAAGATCTATTTATCACTGATTACAGTAGGTTTTCATTCTGGTTACCATCATAACCTGGTGTGGGACTTATTTTTGTTTTTAGCCATGAACAACATTTAATTTTTTAAATGTCTATAGGGTTTTAATGATATTATTTATTTATGTGTGTATTTATTCAAGTGTGTGTGTGTGTGTGTGTACATGGGGTGCCCTTGTTCCTGTGCATGGATGTCAGGTGGAGAGGTGCATGTATGTAGAGTATACATGTGGGTACCAGTGTATACTCAGCACAGTAAGTTCTCTCCCTCTACTTTTATGTGGGTCCCAGAGATTGAAATCAGGTCACCAGGCTTCCAAAGGAAGCCAAGCCATCTCAACTGGTGCTACCAAACTATTTTCAGTGAATTAAATGTACCTTCCGTCAGGAAAGGTGAAAAACAGAAACAAAACAACTTCATGACATACATAACCTGGGGTAATTGAAAATGTATTTACTTGGTCAAGACTCCCCTTCTGCGCCACGCCCTGCGATTACATGCTAAAGCTCAGATTCGGCACCCAGCAGCGAACTAACACTCAAGCTGTCCACTCGGGAATGCACGGCAGAGGGTGAGAGCCCAGAGGATGACGTTAACGACAGAAAGACCTTTGGCCGGGAGACAGGTCATGAGGCTAGGGAATGAGGCCCCACAACTGAAGGGGACCCACTGCAGGTATTTCTTAAGCATCAGGATGACAAAGCCACATCGACACTCTTTGAAAGGAACACCAGTTTAGCACTGGAGAACTCAGATTTCCGGATCTTTCTTTGCTATTTCACACAATGCTAGTAGACACAGGGAAGAACCCTCGTGGAATCTACATAGAAAAGGTCTTAACCTTATAGCTAAAGCTTGGTAACCCAGTGTATATTCAAGTGTTTCGAATTAAAGTAGAAGGTATGCATGTTACTTTTGTCTGGTTCTTCATAATCATTTAATGGTCAGGTCATGCTGGACAAGAAGACTACCTGAGCTCCATCCCCTGATTCTACAACAGAGAAATGAGTCATGCAAGTTGTCCTCTGACTGCCACCATTTGTGCCATGCGCACACACAGACATATGCACATGAAAAAAAATATAGCTAAAGAAAACAGCAATTTTTAGTGTTGTAGTTTTTATGTACACAAATACCCATATTATTATATACTGGAAACTGCTGTTCTTACTCTATCTTTGCACCTATCCCAGAAGATTGCATTAAGCATTTGCTTACTTCTCAGTCTATCTTATTGAAATAAAAATCACTTGGAAACGTGAGGCACGTTGGCTTCCTATCTGCACAGTGACAGTCAGCACCCAGCACTGGCTGTTAAAGACATGTTCTATAAACTGGGTAGTGGTGCCGCATGCCTTTAATCCTAGCAGTGGGAGGCAGAGGGAGGTGGATCTCTTTAGTTAGAGGCCAGCCTGGTCTAAGAAATTAGTTCCAGGACAGCCAGAGCTACACAGAGAAACCCTGTCTCAAAAACACAAAACAAAAAACTGGCTCAGAACAAAAAAAGAGAGACATGCTTTGGTAGTCAGGGATCTGGGCAATATCTGGTTGCTGAGCAGAATCTGACAGTAATTAGTTTGACATCAACAGAAGAGCTATGTTCTTACCAACTGATAGCTCCGTGGTCACATCTCTTCATGATCATTGTTTTCCAACAGTCATATTGCCTTGTTGACAACTTCAGAGCAAAAGCCTAGTTCCAATCAAAAAACAGACGGAGGTAGATTTGCAACCTAGTTCCCACCAAAACCAGTGTTACACCTACACAGAACCAGTATGCTAAGGGCCAGAGCTCTGGAATCAGGCAAACTTGAGTAGATACCTTTCTTAGTTATCAGCTGGGATACAGGCGCTGAACTTCACCAAGCCTCAACCCCCTACTCGAAGGAATAGCTTACAATGAGGTGGGGTGAGGTGCAATCTCCATAAGGGGCAGATGAATCAAAGTCTGTGGGTCAACCATGGGCAGCTATGTGTCTTTGGCCCATGGATGCTTCAATGGGATGGCAGTGTTGAAGATATTCGGAAGCCATGTGCTATGTTGTAAAACCTTAGATATTTACTGTCTGACCTGGACAGACATGGTTAAGCCACCTCAGATCTTAACTACCAGCTAATGAATGAATAATAAAGATGCACAGGAAAGTGCTCAGCGTAGTCCACAACTTGTCAGGAAGCAAGCACATATTTACTTCATCACTGTCGTGAGTGCACATGGTCTAACTATAATTTTTGACAACTCACTGCCTGAAAGCAATACATCTCAGAGCTGCCACAACCCTTTTCTTGGTACCAATTCATAAAATACCTAAAATTGTAAAAGCAGTAATAAACATTTGGCTAGGTGTGCATCTTGCTAACACTGCTAGAATTCGAGGGCATCTGTACTGGCCTGTCCTTGGGGTTCTGACAGGACACACCCTCAACTGCAGCCACTAAGAACACCACCTGTGCACATTCACTACGTTCCCTTTTAAAAGGGCCCTGCCCACCTCTCATCCCTTCTCTCTTTCTCTCTCTCTGTTCTCCCCACACTCTCTCTCTCTGCCCCTCTTTCCCTGTCTCCCTCTTCTCCCTGCTTGAAACTTGTCAAATGGTATCTTTCTCTTGCACATTGCTTTTCTTATATTATAATGAATACTACATAGCAAAAATCTCGGAGTCTCCAAAGGAGAAAATCACTTTTACGTTCTTTTCCAAAATTGGTTTATGTGTATGTGTGTGTGCCTGAGTATATGTATGTAGGCAGGAGCCCTGAAGAGTAGAAGAGGGAATCAGATGCCCTAGGATGTAGTTACAGGTAATGTGAACCGCTGAGTGGATGCTAGCCAAACCAGACCCCCTGCAAAAGCAGAGACCTCATAACCAATGAGCCAGCTCTCTAAGTACAAGAAAATCATTTCACTGATCTTCCCTCAAATGTCTCCTTCCTTCCTTCTTTCCTTCCTTCCTTCCTTCCTGGAGAATATTTATTAGCTAATTTATGCTAGCTTTATCCTCAATTATAACTAATTACTATCATACTGAAGAAACAAAATCTTGGGCTTGGAGATGTTGCTGGGAATTTAACCTATGGATAATAGTTTTCTCCAGGCTACAGAGAGCTGAAAAGGAGAATGGCTTCATTCTCGGTGAGGAGGTATTGGGGATACTGCTGTAGACAGGGGATAAGAAATGGACAAAATTATTCAGATAATCCTGTTTATAATACATTCTAGTACATGCTCAATGAAATGGGTAGGGAGGCAACCCAGAATTAAAAATGAAAGCCATTTTTTTCAAACACAAAAAAAGGAAGTCAGAATTAAACATTCTTGGGTGAGCCTCTGTCCTTTTGTGGCAATGGTAAAAAGCAATGCATAAAATGATTATTTCTGGAAATGGTATAACAACAACCCAGCCACCTACAGAAAATAAATAAATAAATAAATAAATAAATAAATGTTCATCAAAAGCACCAGAACACAGAAGATACCTGACCCGACTCTGTAAAGTCAAAACTTGCCAGGCTGCCTTTGAGACAATAAAGAACTCTCTCTCTCTCTCTCTCTCTCTCTCTCTCTCTCTCTCTCTCTCCTGTGTGTGTGTGTGTGTGTGTGTGTGTGTGTGTGTGTGTGTGTGTGTGTGTAAAACTTAGTCAGGAGAGAATCCTGGATGGATTTACATTATGGGAAAGGGGCCTCCTCAAACCAGGAAATGAAGGTATTTTCTTCATACACAGCTTGGAAAATTTAAACTGCTGAATCCCCTTACTTTCTGGGATGAGTACATTGATCCTGTTGACTCACTTAAATATCTGGAAAAAATGTTAACACTAATGCCCTTAAATATGGAAGTCAGTAAAGTGTCTTTCTTCTATATGTGAATATTCATATCAGATTGTCTATGTGAAACATGCTATCAGACATTGAGAGGAACACTTCAAACATTTTTACCTTTTTTTGAATTCTCCGTTAAAAAGCAAACTTGTTTTCTGGTTTTCCATCCGGTATCTTTAGCATTTCAACCAATCAACAGTGGCTTCCAGGTAACCTGGTTTGAACTTCTTAACATCATCAATATCTGTGAAGGAAGAAACAAAAGCATTTTGTTAAAAATCGTTTACACTCGGGAATACAATCAGGCCAGGTCTTGAGGAAGCCATGAAATGTGGGCCAACTCCAGCTTCCATCATAACCAACTGTGCTAGTGATGCTTGACAAGTCTCATATCCCACACAGACTTCTTCTTCCCTATGTAAAACACTGTTCCTTCATTCTACAAACATCTACCGGGTCCCTTCAGGACACAGGTTTCTCTCTGTCTGCAAGTTCCCAGGGTTACACAGTAGGGAACAGACAGCAAATGGTGATGAAGTGCAATGAGGTTATCATACACAAAACAGGATGGTAATACCAAATCAGGGAGTGAAAGAAAGCACCATAGAAGGCATGCACAAGTAGTCAGACAGAAGTGGAGAGGAAGGAGACGTCTCTAGGAAGGAAGGGCCACTGAACAGCACATACCACGACAGGGACTGCTATCTTCTGACAGGCAAAGGAAGGGTTTAAACTGGTAAAATCACAGTGTCCAGGATTCATGTTTCTACAAACACTGGTCTCAAAGGTCTGAACACGGTCGGGAGCAGTATCCAGAAAACGGAGCACTGAGGCCGGCCAAGAGAGGCTGTGTGAGTCTTCTCTTGTGTGTGCGATATTTAGTGAGTTCTTTCTTTGTGTCACATCCTGTTCTAAGTGGTGAAGAAAACTGAAATGAGTAGATGAGAAACACTCGCCCTCAACCGTCATGGCTGACCCTGCATGAACACAGCAAAAGAAAACAGTCCCCAAAGAATGAAACCAGACAAGGAAAGGCAAAGATGAGTCGGGGGAATTTAAACGGGGTAGGGCACAGATAGCACAAAAAAAAAAAAAAAAAAAAAATTGTCCCTAGCTCCAACCATGGTTTTTCAGGATTTTGGTTGCGAGAGCACTCCACTAGACTATACTTGGACATAAGGTTCCTGTATTGAGATTGACAAACCCCTTATTCTGTGAGGTCCCCAAGGAAGCAGCCTTTCCTAAGTATACAATTTAAAAGTATAGTAAGTGATTGGCAAAATACTCTAGAGGAGATGTTTAAGAATCAGCCTGTGATGTACAACACAGAGCACACAGAATTGGTCAAACTTGAAGAGAACTAGGAAGTTATAACTAGAACTAGGAGAGAACGACAGATAGGGATAACCCAGAAACTCCCCGGTTCCACACCTTGTTGAAAGCCCTCTCCTCCCGCTTGACAGGGAACGCCAGTGCTCCATGGGCGCTGGTGACACAGACGGCGCCACTGCCTTGCCTTTTCCCACTGGCCCCTTGCCTGGTATACAGGGAGGGGTTCAATGCCCTCCAGGGCTGGGGGCCCCGCTATAACCGAGATGAGTGTGAGTGGAGAGAGGCCTGGGCAAGGTGGAAGGTTCATTTGCTGACAGTCTTCTCCCTTAAAGTCTGAAATGATACCAAAGGCCACACATCTATCTGAAATATTTTAAAACAAGAAGCACCAAGGTTACAATTAACCAAAGGAAAATAAGAGAGACTTGCTCGAAGGGAATGCAGATTACAGTTGCATCATTAACAGGTGTCAGCATATACTTTTCGGCAGTTGTAATGTGTAGCAGATGCTTAAGACAGAGAATTTTCTGTAAGTGTACCCTCTAAGGAATGCACCCTGCACCCTGGGTTAGAGTCCTTTGTTGTGGCCCAGACCCACAATCCAAGAAACTCCTCACCCAATATAATGTTTCCGCCTCAGATTCTATTCATCTTCACATTCTCCTGCTTCTCTAAGACGTTATATCTAGGGTGGATTTTCCATTGATCATCTTCTTATATCCTCCTCCTATTCTTACAAAGCATCCTTGTAAACTGATTAATTTCAGGTTGGCCCAACTTAAAATTCTTTTATTCGCTTGGGAAAATATTGCAGTATACTAAACTTGAATAAATAGGAATGTACTTTAATTTCCAAAATAATCTTTTATTGAACTGACTGATGACTCCATCCCTGTACCTCACCCAATCCACTGGTCTTTGTCCCACTGTGCAAAGCATTTGTTTGATTATCTTTATTTTACCCACCAATTTTAAAGAAAGAAGCCCAATGCCCTTTTCATCCTAGGAAGCTCTTGGCTCTGAACTCTCGTGGAGGGGACCTTTAAGACACCAGTGATTAAAAATGTCAAACATTTAACAGTGCCAGAAAGAAGTACAATCCTCCAGTAGAAGCTACACTCACCAATTCTCAATTAATTACATCCCAGGAGAAAACAGCTGCAATTTCATAAACAGCCAAGACCTCAGACAAAATTGGAAGCATGCAATTCTAACATTTTTAAAATCTCAATAGTAAATGTCCAACCAGAAATCCAACTCAGTGAATTGACTTTTCTGAAAGCGGGAAGCATTGTATCTACAATCGATAGACTGACCCACGGAATACATATGTGTTAAATATAAGGAGACTATAGCAAAGAGAACTTGACATGTTTGCTGAAATGCACAACAGAAGCTGCATCATAAAAGCCATGAGACGTTTAATTGTTAACCTGCTTTTCTTCTTGTTGCATTGCCCAGCCAAAGGCGTTCCAAAATAAACGCAGATCATTTTCTTCTGCTATAGGAACATCTACATAGCATGGTGGTGTCCCCTGCAGTCAATTTTAGGGATATAACTCAGTTATATTTTGTTCCTCCACAATGTCTAATTGGCACCACTATCCATCTGTAGGACTTCTCCATCAGATGCATTTTTATAATGTATGCCATTTTAAAGATAAGTAGTGAATTTCTAGTACCCATTTATTCCCACTCTTAGGATTTTATGTGAAACTTTATGATGCAGACAGTTAGGGCATTTGCTGCAGAGATGGACCACACTAGCAATCAGGAAGGAGAACCTGGAAGCACCTATTTATAAAATCAAGCTAAATATGCCTAAGTTCTCTTCTGGACCCATTAAGCCCTTTTAATTGAACCTCTACTTATTACTTTACTGCACTAATTAACAAAGATTCTTCACTGAGCAAACTATTCTGACTGTAGTATGTGCTGAGTCTGGTGGAACCTCTGGAAGGAAGCATACACATGTCCCATCATCGGTTGGATTTTATCTTTGACAAGTTTCAGGTGTCCCCATTCCCAATGGTATCTGCGGTTACAGTTAAAGATTTAACTAAATATCATGTAAGCAGGTGAATTTCTTAATACAAAAAGTGTTGGCTTCCGTGAAATTAATTTTTGAATGTTCTGAAAGAACCCAATAAAACTGGTTACTAAAAACATCTGACATCAATTTAGAGCTGGGTAATAAAACAGCTGAGTTAGAGGAAAAACTAAATATCTCCCAACACATGCAGATTGCTGAGCCAGTGGAGAGGGGAAAGCATCTTACATAACCAAGTCAAGCTCGTGTAAAATGCACTCCAGAGAACTCTTTTTTAAAAAGATTTTCTTAATTTTCATTTTATTTCAGATGTGTATGAATGTTTAACTACATGTGTACCCACCCTGTGTATATCTAGTGACTGTGGAGGATGAAAAGGGCATTTTGGATCCCCTGGAACTGGGGTTACCGACAGTTGCGAGCTGCCAGGTGGTACTGTGGTTCCATTGAAGAGTATCCAGCGCTCTTACCATTGAGCACCTCTCTAGCCCCTTGAGAGGAGTCTCTGAACTGTAGGACAACTATCCAGACTTCTGCAATTAGTGTTCTTACAGGGGAGGACGGGGGATGGGAAAAACAAAGTTCTGTGGCTAGAACTCAGTGAACAAGGCAGCTCGTGAAAAGGGAGAGCCAACCACACACTTGTCACACACAACTCTCGGGGTCACACTGAGGACTTTGCCTTTTATGTTGAAATGGCTCAGGGCAGGGCATATATGTTTAAGGGACATCCCTCCATCTGCCCAGGGGAGAAACAACCACCATGTACAGAGGAGAAAATGAAGCAAGAAACTGAAAGGGCAGAGGCAGGGGGATCTCTGTGAGCTGGAGGCCAGCATGGTCTACAGAGCGAACTTCTGAACGTCTGGACAGCTAGTACTATATAGAGAATGTTGCCTCAAAAAAAAAAAGGGGGGGAGGGAGGGAGAAAGAAAGGAAGGAAGGAAGGAAGGAAGGAAGGAAGGAAGGAAGGAAGGAAGGAAGGAAGGAAGAAATAAACAGAAGCAGACACCAAGAGCTAAACATTGAGCCTGGAATCCAGTTTCAGAGAGGGAGGAGTGATGAGCAAAGAGGTCAAGACCAGGCTGCAGAAACCCACAGAGACAGCTGACTGATGGCTGGGAATCCAGCATTGGAGCAACTCAGACCCCCTGAACATGGGTCTCAGCTAGAAGGCCTGGGCAGTCTAAGGGACCTCTGACAGTGGAACCAGGATGTATCCCTGGTGCAGGAAAGGACTTTGGGAGCACATTCCCCATGGAGGGACACTCCCTTGGCCTAGAGACAGAAGGGGAGGGCGTAGACCCTACTCCAAATGACTAGACAGATTTTGATGATCCCCTCCCTGGAAGGCATCACCCTCGCTGTGAAGTGGGTAGGGAATGGAATGGGGGGGGGTGGGGGGGTTGGAGGATGGGAGGAAGAGGGAACTGGGATTGTTATGTAAAAATAAGAAAAAGGAAAACAAAAGAGAGGTGGGGGAGGGAGAAGGGGGAAGGACAGAGAGGAACATAAGAATATTTATAACCATTGAAGAAATAAATCGAAGAAGACATCAGAAGATGGAAAAGATCTCCATGCTCAGAATGAATAAAGAAAATGTAGTATATTTACACAATGGAATATTCCTCAGGTGTTAAAAAAATCATAAAATTTGTATGTGAATGGATGGAAGTAGAAAAAAATTATCTTGGGTGAGGTAACCCATATCATAAATATGATATGAATCCACTTATATGTGGATATTAGCTGTTAAGTCTTCATTACGCAAGCTACAATCCATAGAACTACAGAGGATAAGTAGAGAATAAGCAAGTAGGTGAGAGGGAAAAATCTCCCTAGGAGGGGGAAATAGAATAGTG